TCATTAGCACTCAGGGAAATACAAATCAAAACTGTAAGTTACCACTTCACACCTTCTAGTATGGCAATAATCAAAAAGACAGATAACACATGTTGGCAAGAATATAGAAAAATTGGAATCCTCATACTTTACTGATGGGAATGTAAAATACAGTCACTTGGGAAAACACCCTGGCAGTTGTTCAAAAGATTAAACAGAATGATATATCACCTGACAATTCCACTCCTAGGTATATACAAAAGATAGATGAAAACATGTCCATACAGACACTCACACATGAATGTTCACAGCATGATTATTCACAATAGCCAAAAAGTGGAAACAACCCAAATGTCCATGAATGGATGAATGGATTTTTATAAAAGTGGTATATCCATACAACGGAATATTATTTAGTCATAAAAAGGAAAGAAGTACTGATGCATACTGTAGTGTGGAGGAACCTTGAAAACACCACGCTAAGTAAAAGAAAACAGTCCCAAAAGACCATATGTTGTATAAGTCCATTTACATGAAATATATAGAATAGGTAAAACTACAGAGATAAATAGTAGACTAATGGTCGTCTAGGGTTAGGAAAGGGGTTGGGCGTAGATGCGGAATGACTACTAATGGATACATACAAGATGATAATACAGATGAAAATTAAAGTTGTTACTTAAAAAAATGAAGATGCTAAGAAGGGTATGATTTGATGAATCACCATAGTACGGGGCTTAAAAGATGTTAACAACCTGGGATAACAGGGTGAAGCCAAAGGATGGACGTTTTCCATGAGAAGTAACCACAGTTGTAGCAGTAGTAAAGGAGTGAGGGAAGTGAAATAATTCTTGATTTCACCAATTACTACTTAAGCAAACCCTGGTTAATCTTCCTTACTTGAGTAAAAGTATTTTGCACTGCTAACTCTACCACGAATTCTCCTGGAATTTGTTCAGAATTCTAGGAATTCAAGCCTATCAGGTATCAAAATTATTTCCAGGCACTTTCTTTGACAGCCTAGTTTCCAGAAGCCTATTCAGTGGAGACAGTCTGCTGGAGCAGATCAAGCCAACCAGATGGACACCTTCTTTGGCACACCCATCACTTCTGATCAACATTTCCTCTGACACCTTCCCTGTTTGGCTCAAATGGAAGGAAAATAAGTGGATATTTATTATGCACCTTACTTTCCCATAAATTGTCACATTTAATCCTCACATCCACCACACACATTACCGATAAGGAAACTGGCCCGTAGGGGATAAAGACTTTACCAAAGTCACATAACTAGCTGGTAAGTGGTAAAGCTAGGATTCTACTTTTTAGCCTAAATTCATGTCCTTCCCACTGTAGTTGTGCACTAGGGTATCCTTCAGAGTGAGACTTCTTTAAATAGTTTCTCCCCATGGATCTGTTCTCCTGACAGCTACTTTCAATGCTTTTTGAAGCTGGAGCTCGGTGTGATTGCTAATTTTAAAACAATGATAACATTTACACATTAAACACTTCTCTAGTTTGTTCCCTTGACAACCATACACCTAAGATTAGATACCAAAAAACCCCAGTCTCTGTTAGTGCTTGGACTTAAAAAATCTCAGTTAGTGAGAACATAACTTTTAATAGACCTTTTTTTTTTTTTTTTTTTTTTGCGGTACGGGGGCCTTTCACTGTTATGGCCTCTTCCGTTGCGGAGCGCAGGCTCCGGACGCGCAGGCTCCGGACGCGCAGGCTCAGCGGCCATGGCTCATGGGCCCAGCCGCTCTGCGGCATGTGGGATCTTTCCCGGACCGGGGCACGAACCCGTGTTCCCTGCATCGGCAGGTGGACTCTCAACCACTGTGCCACCAGGGAAGCCCTTAACAGACTTTTAAAGAGAGCATACAATGTTTTTCAATAGCAATATGGAGTGGTACCTCTACACCACCATAGAAAATATTATAACATAAAAAATCAGTTGAAGAAAGAATGAATTCTCAGGTTACTTTCACATCTCCATTCCTACCGCCAGCCTAGACCAACAAAGGCCAAGCTAAAACGTGACAGAGCTAAGGGTTCTAAGACCCACCTACAACTGTTTGGTCACCATTATATTTTTTAAATTACACAGGTTGGACATAGTAAAAAAAAATGAAACAGTGCAGGATTACCCAGAGCAAAGTGTAAGACATCATTCACCAGCCTCCCTAATGCTTCCAGACCTTTTGCTATGCATTTACATGCATGTATATGTATACATATTGTATATTATTTCTACAAATAGACAGTATTATACAATATATATTGCCCTGTTACTTTTTTTTAAGCAGCTTTATTAAGATATAACTAACATACCATACAATACACCCATTTATTTTTTTAACTTATTATTTTATATTGGGGTATAGTTGATTAACAGTGTTGTGTAAGTTTCAGGTGTACAACAACGTGATTCAGTTATACATATACATGTATCTATTCTTTTTTAAATTCTTTTCCCAATTAGGCTGTTACATAATATTGAGCAGAGTTCCCTGTGCTATACATTGGGTCCTTGTTGGTTATCCTTTTTTTTTTTTTTTTGCGATATGTGGGCCTCTCACTGTCGTGGCCTTTCCCGTTGCCGGATGCGCAAGCTCAGCGCCCATGGCTCACGGGCCCAGCCGCTCCGCGGCATGTGGGATCCTCCCAGACCGGGGCACGAACCCGTATCCCCTGCATCGGCAGGCGGACTCTCAACCACTGCGCCACCAGGGAGGCCCCCATTTTAAATATAGCAGTGAGTACATGTCAATCCACCCATTTAAACTGTACAATTCAGTATATGTACAACCATCTCCACAATCAATTTCAGGATATTTTCCTCACCTCAAAAAGAAACCCCGCATCCTTTAGCTATCATCCTTATATCCTCTGATTTTCTCCAATTCTGAGCAATCACTAGTCTATGTTCTGTCTCTGTACCTTTCCCTATTTTGCAAATTTCGTATGAATGGAATCATATAAAGTGTGCTCTTTGTGACTAGTTTCTTTCACTTAGCATGATGTTTTCCAGGTTAATCCATGTTGTAGCTTGTATCAGAAATTCATTCCCTTATATAGCTGAATAATATTCCATTGTGTAGCTATGCCACAGCTGTCGTATTATTTTTTCATTTAATATTTCCTTTCCATTCAGTACACACAGATCTAGCTCACTCTTTTTAGTGACTGCACAGTATTACAGTTTTGATGCAACATAATTTAAGTAACCATTTCCCTATTGATGGATATTTAAGCTACTTCCAGTGTGTCCCCATTATAACAATAACCTGTAATCTCCATATGATACATAGGGAGAAAGGGAGAGGCCATCTCTCTTGGTGGAAAAAGGACCCTGCCTCTAGAACAGTGTTTCCAAAAAGTATGCTCCCTGGACCTACAGCATCACCTGGGAACTTGTTAGAAATGCACATTTCTGGGCCCGACCCTCAGAGGTTTTGAGTCAGAAACTCTGAGATGGGGCCCACTGCTCACTGTTTAACAAGCCCTTCTCCTTGTGATCCTGATACGCAATAAAATTTGAGGACCACTGTCCTAAATCTCTTTGCACTGCAGTGGCTTTCATTAGTTGGTTTAAGGTAAACTTTAAAAATTAGCAGGACCACAAAAATTGGCTTTAACACATGACTATGGTCATGGATAGGGCAGAAGTATAGCAGAGGGGTAAGTGAGTTTCTATGTTTCTTTAGAGAAAGTACTTTAATATAACAAAAAACCTCTTCCTTTAATGTTTTTCCTAACTGTTTGACCCCTTATTCTCTTCCTCCCGTAATCTTGTAAAACCAACAATTAAACCATTTACATAAACTAAGATACCAGGAGATGGGAAGCTTTTCCTTCCTGACCCTCTCATTTCTGTTGATGATATGATGAACCAGATCCCACTAGAATTGAAACATTGGAAAAATGAGATTTCAGTGAATCACAGATGGGAGCTAGAAGAAAATTGAGAAATCTCCCACTCGAGAGTCATAGTCTGGAGATAAGGAAAATGAATCCCAGAGAAATTACATGACACAGCGAGGCCACACAGCAAGTGCAAGCCTCCGTCTCCCATTATGCTATATACTATACTATATACTATATACTGCTGGACTATCAATGGTTCTTGACCAAGGATATGCATTCATACCAAATTCATCTGGGGAAATTTCTTTAAAAAATATGTTTAGAATATATTTTATTTAGAAGGATTTATTTTATTTTATTTATTTAGAAGGATTTATTTTCCTTAACTTACTAAGCTGAGAAGACTGATATAATTTGACTTTATATATGTGTCGCTCTCTAACTCAGCAACACCCACCGAGGTCAGGGAATGTCCACAATAGTCAGAAGTACTTGGACTGCTTATCATACTATGTTACACGGCTCCACATTGCAGGGTTTTGGTGTTCTTTTGGCTTTCTATTGTTTTTCCGACCTCTCCTTTGATGCCAGTTATTACTTCTTGCATGTATCAGTGTGTTTGCGTCCAGCGGCCCTCACCCCTACTCCCATACCTACAATTGCCAGTGTGAGTTGAGACACCAAATAAACACGATCTTGAGAACTATGATAAAGGTGATGGGAAAATAGGTTGTGAGGGAGGAACTAGAAAATTTAACGTGGGGACTTTGTGATATTTACCTTGGCTGAGACATAATGAAAAGTCAACGTTGCCAGACACAACATTCTGTAAGAATGTGGCATGACAGCAAGACCTCCCTTACACAAATGAAACAAAGAATGAACTCAGAAATTTTTTTAACATCAGGAAGGTATGCAGTTTTCCCCCCCTCAAGGTTTCTCCTCTATTTGTTTGCTCTTTGTTTTTTTTATTCATAAACTTTATTTTAAAGAGCAGTTTTAGGTTCACAGCAAAACTGAGCAGAAAGTACGCAGAGTTCCCACAAACCCCCTGTCCACACACAGGCACAACCTCTCCCACTAGTGACATCCCACACCACAAAAACCCTGGGTGGTTTTTAAAGCTATGAACAATGCAACAGTGAGATTACCTGTAACACCACAGAACTGTGGGTATTGCTGGTAAAGATGCGTGTGGTTCCCGCCTTGGAAGACTGCAAATGGGAGGAGAGACCCATTTCGCTGCTTCCAAGGGACAATTTCATGTGTTGGTCTTCCTCTTCCACTAGAGATCTGAAAAGGTTTTTAAATCAGAAAGAAAAACAAATGAAAACTTGTCATATAATTCACAACAACTGGATGATTTAGAGAAACAGTCACTCTCTGATTATGTGCCAATCATCTGACTATGGAATATACTGAACGTTGTTTCACTGTATTTTAGGCTCATACCACTCTACATCATAGAAGAAATAGATATATATTTGTAAAAAGCTTTCCGAGGTCAGAATAGATAAATGGGAACTGAGAAATCAACTAAAAGCTGGCTCAAAACTATAACTACAAAGGGTTTGTTTCTCTAGTGCCAGAGTAATTGTTTTGGTATTGGGTTGTTTAGGTAGCAATACCAGCAAATTGTGTTATTCACAGTTAAAATTACTTTGGAATCCCTACTTTTAGAAAGATAAAAGTAATATTTATCATTTATTGAACAGTCACTGTATATCAGGTACTTGCCAAGAAATTTACACACATGATCTCATATAATCCTCAAAACAATCCATTGCAACAGGTATTACTAGTATCTCCTTTTTATTAAGGGTAGGGAAAATGAGCTACAGAAGGGTTAAAAATTACTTACCTAAGGTCACAAAGTTATTAAAGGGACTGGACCAGGATTTGAATCTAAGTTTAGTCTGTTTCCAAACTCCAAAGACCCCATAAGTAAAAGTCAAAGATTAACTGTGGTATCCTAATACATTACTTCCTCTTGTGTTACTATAGTTCTAATCAACCCCAACGGAGCAAAAAAATTTACACATGAAATAATTCCTTTTTCTAGCAGTATCTCTCACTAAATAATCACTTGGGATTATTTAGCCAAACAGCTACAGTGTAGCGGCCTTTTCATCTTTCCAAACAAACAAATAATAAAAATAATAAACATAAGCTATGCCCATGTTTATATCACATTAGCAATTTTTCAGGGACCATAAAAAGCATTAGAGAACCTGTAGTTAGTTTCACAGAGAAAATGGCGAAATAATAGTTAAAGGCCTCAGGTTACACTAAAAATTGACCATTGTGGTACAACCTTTCATCATTCCTTAGACTAGGCAGACTTGTGTTTCCTTAAGTATACACTGCTAAAACTGTTTCTGAATCACCTGAGAGCAGGGAGCCCCATGCTTCTGAACGGGTTTGTGCATTCATGATGGGCAGACTGCTAAAATGGACATTAAGAAGGGAGGAAGGCAGAATGGATTTCCAAGTGCTAGAACTATGCCTTTTTCCTATTTATTTCTAACTTCCAGAAGGTTGAATTCTTGGTTTCTCTAACTCGTGTCTATCCAATACCATAAAGATTTCACCTTTTCCCTACCATACCTATAAATCTAAGTTGATCAGTTTTAATAGGAAAAAAAGTTTTACAACAATACCATACTTTTAACAAAGATCCTGCTTTTTGAATTCTGACACCAACCAAATGGCTTTAAATCCTGCAATAATTAGCAAAACTCCTGGCCTTAAGGGTGACATCAATTCTTCTTAACGATATTAGAGCCATAGTATAACCAAAAAATGAATTAATAATATATAACCATGTTTTATTCAACTCTCATGGATATTTAATAAAGAAGAGAATAATTTAAATAAGATTTTAACAAGCATAAAAGAAAATGAATATAGTTTTCCACTAGCTTCAGAAATAGCTTTTTAAAAGAAATTATATACATGATATATAGCATACATACATTTGCAGATACTTTTAACCAGCTTTCGCAGACAGACATTTAATTACAGAATCAAATGGAAAAGTGGGAAATAGATTGATGGTGACTGGTATCCCTAACCAGAAAATTTCCATTCATCCAGAATTATTTTAATGGGACACTCAAGCAGAATGTTTCATTAGTTTCTGTATTCCCTGCACAGAACCTGGCACATGAGAGGTTTAATATATGTCATCTGAATGAACACAGAATCTCATTTCTGTGGATCATTCCAGAGACATTTCTTTATCATGCGGTGCCTTAAATGACCGTCAATTATTATTTTACAGAACCACAGATGTAAACGGGACAGGAGTAAAGCTGAAACCGCACTGCCCCTATGACATATCCTGGAAATTGTTTTGTTTTTTTTTAAATAAACTAGAGATCACAACTTGTTTCCATGTCATTTGTCTCTTGCTCTTAAAATCAAAAGGCAGAATATAAAAATGCAGCCTATTCTTGGCAAGATAATATGTCTGGCTTTCTAACTAATTACTTCAAAAGCTAAAGAAGTCTTCACTAAAATCATCTTTTTCATGACTTCTTATCAACATCTTTTGACTTTTAAACATTCAGAACATCCCCTATTATTTCTGCATCAGTAACAGCACATGTCATGTCAACCTCCCCAGCAGATTCAATATTCTCTTCTATCTCCTACTCATTAAGTCTATTGACTGGATGTGAAGAGCATTGTTCTTCAACAGTGCAAGGAGGTGAAACCTCTCTGCAAACTCCAAGCCACAATGACATCAAACTATCCTTAAAGGAATGATTATCTGAGTAATTCCAAGAACAAATAACATTTTTAATCTTATCCTTTCTAAGTCACATGGTTGAAAGCAATAAAAGGAGCAGTGGTTCTCAGTGCGGGGAGGGGCATCAATGTCTGGAAACACTTTACGTGGTCGCAGGGTAGTGAGGCGTTGCTACTCTCATCTGCTGGGATGCTGTTAAACATCCTACAATGCACAGGAAAGGTCTCCACAGCAAAGCTGTGCTCAGGCAAAAATCTCAAGAATGCCAAGGTTGAGAAACCCCGGTACAGAGGGATTAACCTCCTCAGGACAGATTTTCTAAAGAAATTTCATGTTCTAACTAACTTCCCAGTCTGAGAGTTAACTCCATGAGGTAACGCTGGCAGTCAGAAACACAGTAGGATTATTAATTACCACTAACTCCTCCAAGACTGCCTAATAATAGAATACCTCTGCCCTCCTCCAGTCCATCAATCTGAAAAATCAACTGTTTACAGGAGATAAGTAGATAATAGCTTTGAAGTTTATAAGATAATTATGTGGAAAGGCTTTTGTCCTATGTAAACTCATGGAAGAATAATTCCTAAGTCGGCTTTAAACAATTGTTATTTGGGGAGAAACCCCCCCTCCAAAAAAAACAATTGTTATTTGGATTCACCTTTACATGCCAATTTAGAATCAAGCAAACCCTGTCCAAATAGTCCTATTTCATCAAAACTGTAAAATTATTCATGGGAGAGATTATGTTCATCAATTTTCTTTTGAAAAATTGAATCTTTTTCTTCCAGCGTCTACATATTGCTACCACACCATTCCCGCCTGCCCCACTACCGCTGGACACATCTCATTTTGTAAACAGTGACCAACCACAGAGCATGAAAGCAATCTTTCACAAAGTGTACATGAGTCACTCAAATGCACTTGCTCAAAGAGAACAATTATTTTTTCGAAGAGCATTAGGTAGAGATGGAAGCACTGCCTGATGGTCTTACTGAAAGCTCTGCAAAGGTGGTCAAACCAAACATACATAGACTGTGGCATTTCTTTGTACTACTATTTGAAGACAAAGGAAATAGTCTAAGCAATTGTCACATGTTAACAGGGTGATACTAACATTGTAATGTTGCCTCAAAGCCTTCCAAATTTAAAAAATTACCCCAAGGGAAACAGGCGTAAATGACATAGGGACACAATTCATAAATATAAAAGTACAAATGATTAACAGATAGAAAAATGTTCAACTCCATTCGTACTCCAGAATAGGCAAATTAAAGCAAATCTGTAAACTTATAAAAGAGTAGAGTAGAAGATATACTCTCAAAATTGCTAGTGCAAACAAATATTAAGCCCCTGCCATCTGCATGGCATTGTTCACTCATGGATATTTTAATGAAAAATTTAAAATCATCAAATGTACAAATTCTTTTCCTTTTTACACTGAACATCATGACAACAAAAGATTGTGTATTACTGGTGGGTGGGCTGCAGCAAGAGTGGTCTGTCAATCTGGTTCAAATATGTTTTCTACAATGAATAGTTCTACAGAGGTAATAGTTTGGTAGATGTTCTATGAAGAACCGTGTACTTAGAATTCACTATAGCAATCGGGTTTGTTGGTATGCCATATGGGGAAGGGAAGAGTATCTCATAATTGCATCATTTGGCTCCAAAGCCTCAAATAGTCTTAGGACACTCATCAATCTCAATAAAACATGCTGATAGGATACATGCACTTGCAGAAAAAACATACTGCCCAAGACTATCAGAACACATGTCAAGTTGTTCCCTTTACTTTACTTGATTTTATTTCTGAGGGAAAAATATAAGTGAATCAGAGAAAAACCAGAAAGGTAAAAGTATATCAATGCCTTTAATTTTTCTCTCTTCAGTTCCTGATCAGTTTGACAGCACTTCTTGCTTGTGACTATTACATTACAAAGTGGTTAAACCTAACAGTGTATGTAATTCTAATAACATAATGCCACTGTAACAAAAGAACAGGGGTTTCTGAGTTAGTGCCAAAAGTATTATTCAAATACTGCAATTTCCCAGAGTAATAATATTCTTCTAACTGAAAGTCAGCGCCAGTGGGTTGGTGTGCAAGAAGTGCAACAACAACAAAACAAAACAAAAATAAAAGTCATGAATGGTATAACAACACAACAAGTCAGCTTGGTTAATCAAGGCACTGACTCATGCTTTACCACCCGTCCCCCAGAAAAATAAAATACATATTTCTCACACTCACAATTTAAAAAGAAAATCAAGAAAAAGGCTTTCTTCAAAGAAGAACTCCCCCGCCATTTGTTTTTCTGCTCTGAAACAGAGAAGTGTCTGCTAGCTGCAGCATTTGCTAAATGAAACATTTCTTGCTATAAAGTTGCATTGGCAGGTGGGGGAAAAATTCAGCCACCTGTTCTCACATTCATTTGAATTTGAGTGCTAAATCCGTCAAGGTATTTCCTTCCTCCATGAGAAATAAATTAAAAGCTTAAGATGATATTAGTCATTTCCCATTGATTTTCCTATAGATTCAAAG